CCACTAGAAGCTCCTTGAGAACCTGTTCAATGGCACTTAACAGTATTAACAGTGAAGTCCCAGAGTGATGCAAATGGTCTGGCTTCCACTTGAAGTCCTGGTGTGGCTCTGTGGGTTAATGCACTGGGCTGCAAAGTTGGTTTGAACTACAAGTTTGGGTGTTCACCAGCCCTCCTCAGCAACCCTATACAGGGCCACGTTGAGTCAGAACCGACTCAACGGCACTTAACAACAATAATTAATATACAGGTTAGTGATTCTGTCTCACCTACTGACACCAAAGAAAGACTTGGCCATTTGCTTTCTTCATAATGTCTATGCTCAGTAACACTTGAGATTGCCATGAGTAGGAACTGACTCTAGAGCAATGTTCTGAAATCAGGTTCTTCTTTGCAGACCTGTCTGTTGGACTGTATTTGGAGGTTTTGTTCTAAATTTTACTTTTTGACTACAATCCTGAGTCCAAAAAATGTCTTTGTAGCTTCCACTTGGGCCCTTATCCCCAGGCCTCCAGAAAGTGGTCAAAAGAGCTGAGTGCAGAAAGAGAAGTGCTGTCACTTTGCCCATTGGTTGTTCGTGCGGAGTAGGGCCCGTACAGGAGTGTATAAAGAACATAGACGTCTTAGAAATTATTTAACATGGAGTAATAATGCTGTTGTTGTTGTTGTGTGCTGTCAAGTCAGTTCCAACTCATAGCAACCTGTACTGCGTTTCTGAGAGAGGCTGATGGGTTTGAACTGCCAACCTTAAGGTTACCAGTCAAGTGCTTATCCTACAGCACTACACCAGGGCTCTGTTGTAACAATGCAGTTGTTGTTAGTGCCATCGATTTGGTTCTGACTCATAATGACCCTGTATAGGGTTTCTGAGGCGCAGCTGGTGAGCTTGAACCTCCAACTTTGTGTTTCAAACCAATTTTGTAATGCAGTGTTTCCGAGAAAGGCTGGTGGGTTGGAACTGCCAACTTTACAGTTACCAGTCTGGTGCTGATCCTACAGCACCACATGACAATGAGTGATCTGCAATTTGGTTGTTTTTGCAGCCTTCATTTCAGTCAGAATGAGAGATTTCAGATTGATTTTCCTTATTTTATCAACCCCAAACCACCACAACCTGGACAGAAAATGTATTCTTAGTTCACATGATCAGGTAGTGGAACCAAGGGTCACCTGCCAGTTATACATCAAAAGAGGTATCGAGACATTAGATAGGTAACAGCCCCTAACATATGCTGCAATAAAACTTCTCAAGTGGTTGAAAATAAAATAGCAGCAGTTGTTCTTCAGAGAAAGTTGGTGAATACATGTTTGCTTTGTTCTTTTTTCTTTAAAGCTGAGCAAAAGATAATGGCAAAGGCTTGTAAAAAAAAAAAGCGGCATTGCAAACTCCTTATTTCTGTCTTCTCCCTAAATTACTCAGTGTAAACAAATTGTCATGGAGTGGACTTCCTGGTTAATGCAAAGAGTTAGTGTGCTTGCGTACTACCCTAAAGATTGATGGTTTGACCTAACCCAGAAGCAAAAAATCAGACACTGACAACCTACGGTGTAACCACTCTATTGTGATGCATGTGGGAATGGTGGTACATACATAGAAAGAGAAGTCATATTCAGGTAACCTGTGAAACATAGTTCCACTTCACAACATGGAATCTACCAGACTTCTGTGTCTCAGATTAAAGTTTTTATAATTTCTAGGATTGCAAAAGGAGCCCTGGTAGTGTAGTTGGTTATGAGTTGGGCTGCTAACCTCTGGGTCAGCAATTCACATCTGCCAGCTGCTCCATGGGAGAAACATAAGACTTTCTGCTCCCGTAAAGGTATACAGCCTTGGAAGCCCTATACAGAGTCCCTGTGAGTCGGAATCAACTCCACAGCACATAACTACCACCAGGATTGCAAAGGTGGTTGCTCTTCCATTCCAACTATAATCCCTTTGCTTCCTCCCTGAGGCTCTTCTCTGGACCAGTTGTCTTGGGTCCACTTTGCACCAATTCAACCAACCAGCATTGTTGTTGATGTTGTTACATTCCATTAAGTTTGTGCTGACTCATAGCCACCCTATATGGGGTTTCCGAAGATAGGTTGGTTGATTTGAACTGCCGACCTTGTGATTCAAGCTGACATTGCAATTAAGTGCTTAAGCTACAGCATCACACAAGGACTCCCAACCAGCATTGTTGTTGTTGTTAAGTGCCATCAAGTTGGTTCTGACACATAGCGACCCTGTACAGGGTTTCCTAAGAGTGGCTGGTGAGTTTGAACCATGCTCCTTGAAGTTCAAACCGACCTTGAAGTTGAATCCTTATCCTGTACTGCCAACCAGCATTAATGAGGCAAAAAGTCAGTACTTGTCCATTGAAATAGTCTGGTTCACTACTTTATTCTCAGCTTGTAGTACGGCATCTGGTTTTGGAAGTATCTAACAAGTATGGTGGTGGTGGTGGTGGTGTACTATGGAGTGGTTCAGATTCATAGTGACCCTGCATAGGGTTTCCAAGGCTGTAAATCTTTACAGGAGCAGAAAACTTCATCTTTTTCCTGTGGAAAGGCTGGTAATTTCGAACAGCTGACCTTGAGGTTAGTAGCTCAACTCTTACGAATCAACCAATTACTAGCATGACATGAAAGCCTTAAAGAGTGAGAACGATTGTCTGTAAATGTGTAAGTGATCACTTTGGCCCAGTGGCCTGAAGAACCCTAAAAGAGCAACACCATGAGCTTGTCACAGGTCTGAAATGTCCTTGATTTAATTGACATTTGGGTTTAAATATTGTTTTCAGAAGGCCACTAACCGGCAAAACACTACAGGGTGTACTCCTTTACATGGGCCAGGAGAAGGGACACCCTCCAGGGGCAGAAAATGTTTAAGTGGCCCAATATACAAATGATTGTAAAAGATCAGATCGTACAAAATTTCAAGTCCTTTCATATACAGCCAACATTTTTCTTAGTGTCCAACCCCTCCCCGCACCCCACTCTCAAGATTTACTGAGCTCATTTGGGTCTCAGGGAAAATCTGAGACAAAGTCAAGACTTGAAGGGGATTTGGAGGTGAGTCACCCTTCCCCCACCTCCATTCTTAGGCTTTGATACTGATTTGCAAATGAATCCGCTTTTCTGACTGAAGATCACTTTAGCTAGAATGGTTTGATTTTTTCTAATTTACATATGGAGTCCTGGTGTGGTACCCTTGGATTAAGCACTCAACCTCCAGGTCTGTGTGGCACCCTAGGATTAAGCACTCAACTGCAAGGTCAGGAGTTCAGACTCACCAGCCATTCCTCAGAAACCCTATATAGGTTCTCTATGACTCTGAACCAACTGGACAGCACTTAACAACAGCAATTTACATATAAGGAATCACTGAGTGGAGCAAAGGATTAAGTGCAAAGGATTACCAATGGCAAAGTTGTCTGTTGGAACTCACCCAGAGACACCTGGGAAGACAGGCCTCAAAATCTGCTTTTGAAAGGGCCAATGCTAACTCTACATACATGGGGTCACCAGTTGATTTGATGGAAACTGCCGTGGTGCAATAAGATAAGCACTGGACTGCAAGCTCAGTTTGAACCTCAAGGTCAGCAGTTCAAACCTACCAACACTCTTCAAAAATCCTGCATAGGACACTTAACAACATCAATTTACATTTACTTATAGGAAAGTGATTCTGCTCTAGTCTAAAGAAGAAATCAAGAAAGAAAACAGATTGTTTCCCTTTTGAACTTTTCTGCCTTTTATTTTTAATTTATCACCATCAATGAGCGCATACAAAATTCATCAGCTATGCTAAGGGATATAAGGGAAGATGGATGAAAGGGAAAGAGTTCAGTGAATTTAAGGTTCCTCTCCCCGACTCCAAGGAGCTCTGGTAGCATAGTGGTTATGAGTCGGGCTGCTAATCTCAGGGTCAGCAGTTCAAAACTACCAGCTGTTCTGCAGGAGAAAGATGAGGCTTTCTGCCCCCATAAAGATTTACAGCCTCGAAAACCCTATACAGGGTCGCTATGAGTAGGAAGGACTCCACGGCACATAACCACCACCCACCTCCCCCACTCCAGCAAATACACTGTTATTGTAACTAAGAGAAAAGCACTTCCTAAAAATTACTTTACTTCTTATTTTTATTACAAACAGAACATATAAACCGTGAGACACTCACTGTCTTGCACTCTGAAATATGAAGGGCCAGGGAAAGCTCATTTGGGACAAGATGAAGCTTTTGAGAAGAGAGATGAAAAAGCAAAGTTCAGAGATTAATGCTACATGGACAAATTGGAAATCTAAAGACAACAATAATCACAATGAATGATAACAGAAAGCCAGTGGGATGGGAGCATTCAATACAACAATTCAATCTGGTTCAACATGATAAGATGACTATCTTGTTTTTTAATGCTGTTATAGGCATTGGATGGATTCCTGGTGTGGTGCTGTGAATCAGCACTGGACTGTGAACCACAAGATCAGCAGTTCAATCCCTCACCTGCTCCTCGGAAAGCCTATACAGCATCACTATGAATTGGAACCAACTTGATGGCACTTAACAACAACAAAGCACTGAGCCACAAGGTCAGTGGTTCAAACCCACCAGATGCTCCTTGGAAAACCCATCTAGGGTTGTTATGAGTCAGAATTGACTCAACCATATTGAACAACAACATACACTATGAACACAGGCAACACTGTCATACTCAAAGAATAAAATGGTCTCCTCAGAATTTATCACTGTTTGTATAGCTAGTTAAACAAGAATTATCCACATACTTCCAAGTGAGGAATATTAGGGCTGACTTTTTCAGTCAGTTATTCAAGATTCCCAGGCTTGGAAGACTTTAAAACAATACAGAAGTCCAACATATCTCATGGCCTCAAGAATTTTCACCTTCCAAGAAAATATATACCTACACAAATAATGCCACACCATCCAAATAAAGCTAGAAAACGTTATGCAGGTACAATATCCATGTATCAGTTACTTCAAAATATAAATGTTCTTACCTGGAAAATGCTGCAATATTATCAGCCAAGGTTTCCTGATCATTTGCCCCAGACCTATAATAGTCATATATAGACTTCTGTAGTACTAATTTAGCATGTTGTTCATAATCATTGAGACAAATTAGCCGGGGAAACATTTTTGCAGATGATTGCAACCCCAGTTGTTTTTTGGAATTTTTTTTCTACATTGCCTTCTGCACCCTGAAATTCCGTTATTTGTCAATCATTAATAGACATTTTCCAAAGTTCAGATTTATTTCTCTATTGCTTACATCAAAGAGAGCAAACATATGCTTAGACTTTGAAATTTCATTTGCAGGCTTTTGGCTAAAGAACAAAGTTACCCTTAAGATACTAGAAGGATGCTGACCATGTGTGTGTCACAGTAGAACTGTTCTTCTTAAACAGGTGTTCAATAGCTGATTGTTCAGAAGTAAATCTTAAGACTTGGCTCCCAAGGTACTTACAACAAAACAAAAAAAAACAAGCAAACCCACTATCTAGTTCATAGTGACCCTATCTGAGTAGACTCACTCTCTAACCTTTTCGTTATTAGCTGAATGCATTAACCATTTGTACAACCTAGGGACTCCAGAAAGGAAATTACGCATCTGGTTTTTACAGTTGCATGAAAAAAGGTAGAAGAATGAGTTAATAGGTAAGTCCTTTAGAGAAGACTTTTCATGAAACCACTCTTGCCTCAGCTCTGCCTAAGACGACGTCTTTCTATACTGTATGTGCTTTTGTTCTTTGCTTGGTACCCAGAATGACTGCCCACTCATTTTTCTGCCATGTTTGAATCACACATATATCCTGTGACAATGAGCTTATGAGATGAGTAAGACACCCAGTAAATAGAGGACATCTGTTGTTGTTGTTGAATACCATGGAGTCTGTTCTGACTCATAGCAACCCAGTATAGGGTTTCTGATGAATTGCTGGTGGGTTTGAACTGCCAACTTTTTGGTTCAAACTAAACTTGCAGTCCAGTTCTTTATCCTACAGTGCCATACCAGGACTCCATCTACACAATAGGAAATTCAACTGATTGTAACCTTTGGCTTTAACAAGGAACATGAAAGCCAAATTTA